CCAAGTTAAAATTTAGAACTGGCGGTGATGGGGTGAGTCTCCTCCCCTTTGCCCTATTGCGGGCTCGATGTACCCCTTACCTTGAAAAATTCACCCCTTATGAAATAATGTTTGGGAGACCTCCTCCCGTCCTGCCCCGCGTAGGGGAGGAGATCCTAGGGGGAATAACTAACAGGAACCTCCTTAAGTCTACAGGCGTTACAGCAGACCAGGGAAGAGGTCCACAGGCTGGTCCGCCAACCAAGGCCAGAGGCAAATCCACAATCCAGAACTCCGGTGGCCCAACCTGGATCAAGAGATTAAACCCTGGACAGTTAGAACGGAGGTGGGAAGGACCCTTCATTGTTGTTCTCAGTACTCCTACAGCCGTCAAGGTAGCTGGAAAGCAGCACTGGATACATCACGCCCGGCTGAAAAAGACACCTGAAGAACTACCAGGGGACCAGGAGAAATGGCAGATCAGCCCAACCGACGACCCACTCAAGGTCAAGTTAACCCGGGTGGGGAAGGAATAATAACCTTACTACTACTATTGGCGACTCTGCCCCACCCTTCAGAGGGTGGGCTAGAGCCCCCACCCAATACACAGGACTTGGTGCGGGCACTTTATGGGAGCCCTTGTGACTGCACGGGAGGGAGTACAGGAGTGACTCCATCCCAATACTCCCAAACAACTGATTGTGGCAGTAAAACAGCCTACTTAACTTTTGAGACTTTGAAGGGGGGCGGATTTAAACAGGGATGGAAATGTGTCAGTAAACCTAAAATCATACTGCCAGTGAAGGGCAAACCCGGACCGTGCCCTTCCGACTGTCAGATGGTCACAAAAATGCATTCCACTTGCTACCGGGAGGTCCAGCAGTGCACCCATACAGATGGGAAAATCTATCTTACTGCCATCCTGCAGAGGACGTACTCTGGTTCTTTCGGAGGGGACTGGGACACTAGCAGTAGCCAAGGGTACTCCAAACTTGCTCAAGCCTCCTGCCGAGGCAATCTTGGCCAGGCTAGCTGCTGGTCGCCTCGTGCCCCAATCCACGTATCTGATGGGGGGGGACCCACTGATCGGGTTAGAGAAGCTGAGGTACAAGAACAGATAGAACAGATGATTCACTCCTTGTACCCACCCCTCCGCAAGCCCAGGGACATCGATCTAGATGCCCAGACCTCCGACATCTTAGAGGCTACCCTCAGAGCTCTAAATGGCTCTAACCCGTCACTGGCCGCAGACTGTTGGCTATGTATGACTCTTGGGACAGCCATGCCCCTTGCCCTCCCCGCCGGGAATTCTTCCATACAGGAGGCTGGAAGCTGCAGCCTCACCCTTCCCTTCAGAATACAGCCCGTAGGGTTCAGTACCTCCCCATGTTTTAGGGGGCTGTTCCAGAACAATAGCTATGACTTAGATGTAGGGTATCAGACTTTCTCCGAGTGCACCCAGGTCTCAAACCACTCCACACCCCTCTGCCCAGCCCCTGGGCAGGTTTTTGTTTGCGCGGGTAGCCTGGCCTTCACAGCCCTACCTGTCAACTGGACAGGATTATGCATACAGGCTATTATCCTCCCCGATATAGACATTATCCCAGGTGAAGAGCCCGTTCCCCTTCCTAGTCTTGATTACATAGCAGGACGCAGTAAAAGGGCTATCCAATTTATTCCCCTACTCTTAGGCCTAGGAGTTTCGGGTGCTGTGGCATCGGGCTCCGCAGGACTAGGAGGAGCTGTACACTCCTATACCAAGCTTTCCAATCAGCTAATTGATGATGTTCAAGCCCTCTCAGGAACTATAAATGACCAAGACCAAATAGACTCTCTAGCTGAAGTCGTCCTCCAGAACCGGAGGGGGCTCGACTTACTCACTGCAGAGCAGGGAGGGATCTGCTTAGCCGTACAGGAACGCTGCTGCTTCTATGCCAACAAATCGGGAATCGTCCGAGACAAGATCAAGAAGCTCCAGGAGGATCTAGTCAAGAGGAGGAAAGAACTGTTCGACAACCCCTTATGGAGCAGCTTCAACGGACTCCTCCCCTATCTGCTTCCCCTTTTGGGGTCACTACTTGGACTTGTACTAATGTTAACTATAGCCCCCTGCATTTTTAGGTCGATAGCTAACATGATTCAAGCTAGGACTCGGGATATTAAGATCCCTGCTCTCCGCATCCAGTACCAAAATCTTGCTATAGTCGAGGAGAGTAAGAGCGAATCAAAGGTTTGATTCGCCCGTAAGAGGAGTAGGGAATGAGATAGAAATTGCAGGGTGGGGGGCTCAACCAGGGTGGAAAAGTACTGAACATAGCTTGTAACTTAAGTCAGACCTAGGGGAAAACCAGACTTGAAAAACAAGTCCAAATAAGGGTGGCATCTGGGGAAAGAAGGAAGCTGAGAGAAGCCTGTCAGGGAGAAGAATAGCTTTAGCAGGAATTCCGCCTGGCCCTCGCCCGGAGGCGGGCTGTTAGTTTAGTAGCCAACCAATAGGAATAGGACAGATCAGCCAGGGTCGGGAGGGTGATAAAAGGAGGGACGGCCCCTCCGCCTTTCGCCCGCCTGGCAATTGCCTGCTGCTGTGTCAGCTACGGCAGGGGCCCAGATCCAGATCTGTAATCAATAAACGCTTGCTTAAACCATCTATGAGTCGGTAGCCTGTCTCTGGGGGACTCGTTCTGTAACACTCCTGAGCGCCCCCTACAGGGGATCTAGTCCGCAACCCAGGCATGTGCCCTTGACCAGTGAATTGAGCGGTCACCTCCTGGTTCATTAGTGCATGCTCAACTACTGAGCAACACTTTTTCTTTTTTTTTTATGTTTTATTGATTTTTTTTTTGTTATGCCCAGATTTCAGGGTCCCCAAAAGACCACCAGGGAGCACCGAGTCCAATGCAAAAGCAGAGAGTCTTTATTCAAACTAGCTTGCGCTCCCACCACCACCACACACACACACTCACTCACTCACTCACTCACTCGCCGTTGCAGCGGCTGGGGCAGAGAGAGCCAGCTCTGTGGGGAAAGGGGTTTTATAGTAAGGGGAGGAGAGAGGACTGTGGGCCCTGCCGATTGGCCAGGCGCAAGTCAGTGTCTTGTTACACAGGATGTGGTTGTATCTGGCGTGCACTTCCCCTGATTATCATTGGTTAGTTTAAAGAAATCCTAGGTGTGGCTAGCAGAGGTTTGGGCTTCCGGGAAGAAGCTCCTTGCTGAGCACATGGCTGCTGCCCAAAATGGAGGATTCCCGGCAAGATGGAGGGCGTAGCCCTCACCCTTTCATTTTTTACAGAGAGGAAAGGAGAGGGATAGAGAGTTAGAAACATCGATGAGGGAAAAACATTGATCAGCTGCCTCCTGCACACCCCCTACTGGGGATGTGCCTGCAACCAAGGTACATGCCCTTGACCGGAATCGAACCTGGGACCCTTCAGTCTGCAGGCCGCAGCTCTATCCACTGAGCAAAACTGGTTAGGGCTGAGCAAACACTTTTTACTTTTTATTATTGAAATATTCAAACATATAGGAAATACACATAATCTTGATATTTGAAACAAGTGACATGTTTGTGTTATTTGCACTTAAGTGTTATTTTTTTCGGCACTTAGTGTTTCGAAAGTAAATTCATTTCATCCAAAGTAGTTTCCACTTAACGTTCCTGAAATAATATTTTCTACTTAATGACAATGCCATTGTCACCCCTAATGTTTCCCAGTCTCTTAAGTGCTGTTGGTGTGGTCTCAATCCCTGAAGGTGAGTGGTCTTGGGGCCTGGTTGCCGAGGGACTGGGGCTCCCATGATGTTCAGCACTGGGCTCCGATCAACCCTGAGGACACAGTGCCTCCTGGGACCTTTAACACATGGGGGTCCAAGTGGTCCCCCCAGACTGTTTCTTTACATACTCTCACTAAGTCCTTCCTTGTTGCAGGTGTCTCTTCAAGCTGAGGGGCCACCCACCACCACCCCATCTTGGTAAGAATCCTTGCTCCCACTCCCTGACCCACCCAGGTCTAAAACACCTGCATTTCTGGTGACTTCTCATCAGATATCTCTGGGACCTAATTTATATGTGAACAGTCATGCTCAGTATTTACATACAAATCCCAGCTCTGCTATTGGTGGGTTTGAGGTGTCAGTTAAGTAATTGTACTGCTGAGCCTCAGTCTCAGTTTCTGTGTCTAGCATCTGACACAACATATCAAGAGCAGAGAGGTTGTCGTCTCATAGTTGCAGGGGAGGGAGGTGGAGGCAGGGCATGATATATCCTGCCTTTGAAAGGAAGGTTGAATATAGTGAAACGCACAGGCTGTGAAAGGAAGAAATATACATATATTTTTGGGTTTGGGGGGACTAATCAAAAGTCCAATTTTCAGACTTAGAAGAAAAGAAACAGTGGCTAGCAGTTAATACTGTCACTGGTTTCTAGGCTGCATATAGTATATCAGCCAAGTTGAGACAGCTTTCCATGAATTGTGTGCATATAAACTTATAGTTAATAAAGTTGCCCTCTACTGACACACAGCTGTTAAAATGACAGTGCACCATGGCAGATATTTCACAAGTGTTTCAAAGACCTAAGTCGTAAAATGGGCCTGGATACAGGTTACCCAAAGAGGAGCAAGTGTTCTAGGCTCTAGGAGGGCTTTCCCTCTGTTCCCTGTTCCCTGTTCTTGGATCTTACAACACTTGCTGGCAGGCCCTTAGGGAGGAGATAATGAGAGAAAATCATTGATCATTGATTGGCTGCCTCCAGCACACCCACGCCCCCCCTCCCCCCCCCCCCCCCCCACACACACACACACACTGGGTTTCAAGCCCACAAACCAGGCATGTGTCTGTGATCAGGAATCCAACTGTGACCTTCTGGTTCATAGGTTGGCACTCAACCACTGAGCCACACCAGCTGGGCCCAAATTGTCTTTTGAGGGGCTGATGCTCTTCACCCTAAGGGCCCTCTGAGAGGGGAATTTCTGGGAAAGCATGGAGGGGAGGGAGGGAGGTGCCAGCTGGACAGAGGTGGGGGGGGGGGGGGCAGGGGAGAGAGTGTCTGTCTTTTTTATTATTGTTGAAAGGATTACATACAGGTGTACTGGTTAATGCAGTTTTTTTTCAATAGATGGAGTTACACATAGGTTAATATATGTGCAATTTGATACGTATGCTATTTTGCATTCACAGCAAGCTTCAAAACTTCATGTCAAATTTTCTGAAGGTGTTAACATCATAAATATTTTTACACTTAAAAATGTCGAATTTCATGCCAAAAAAAAGCATTTGCAGGAAGTTTTAATTCATTACTTTATTTTGAAGAAAAGTGCTGCTGAAAGTTATATACTTTGGACAGCTTATGGTGAACATGCTCCATCTCAAGATACTTGTGAATGCTGGTTTAAACGCTTTAAAAGTGATGATTTCGATGTAAAAGACAAAGAACATCCAGGTCAACTGAAAAAGTTTGAAGACCAACACTTACAAGCCTTATTAGATGAAGATGTGAGTCAAACTCAAAAATAACTTGGAGAAAGATTAGATGTTGCTCAGCAAACAATTTCCGATCATTTACAAGCAATGGGAAAGAATTTAAAGGAAGGAAAATGAGTGCCACATCAACCGAACGAAAGACAAATGGAAAACCGAAAAGTCATCAGTAAAATGCTGCTTCAGCAGCAAGAAAGAAAGTCTTTTGCATTGAATTGTGACCGGCAGTGAAAAGTGGATTTATTTTGAGAATCCCAAATGCACAAAATCATGGGTTGATTCAGGTCAACCATCAACATCGATGCAAGGCCAAACTGCTTCATAAAGAAACAATGCTCTGTGTTTGGTGGGATCAGAAAGGTGTGGTATATTATGAGCTGCTAGAACCAGGTGAAACTGTTAATATTGATCACTACCGGCAACAAATAATTTGAACCACGCTTTGATCATAAAGCCACCAGAATGGACCAGAGATACGGCAAAGTGATCTTATCATGATGACATACCCTCACACACTTTAAAACCAGTTAAAGACCCGTTAAAAGATCTTGCCTGGGAAGTATTAACCCACCCACCATATTCACCAGATCTTGCTCCTTAATATTACCACTTGTTCCCATCAATGGCACACGCACTTTCTGAGCAGCACTTCAAAACATATGAAGAAGTGGAAAATTGGGTCTCTGAATGGTTTGTCTCAAAACAAGGAAAGGTTCTATTGGGATGGTATCCACAAATTACCAGAAAGATGGGTAGCTAGCGATGGACATTAAATTGCCGTGTTTTGATTATAAAATCCGCATTATTAACCAGTACACCTGTTCCCTATTTTTCCCCATTGATCCTCTCCAGCCTGTCCCGTGTCCATCTGTCCCCCCAGACCCTCACCACTCTATTGCCTGTGTTCATGGACCATGCATCTATGCATACGAATGGACAGCATATTTCTACAAAAAACTTGGATTTAAGGGTTTGGTTTCTTTTTGCTAAAGTAGCTCACAATAGGGAGTGCTTGCCCTGTTTCCGTACTTTTGAGAACTCATCAGATCCTGATGGCAGGCATTTAACTTTTCTCTGATTCACAGCTGCTTCCCCAGGTTAAGAAACAAGGAATGGCGATGCAGGCCTGGCCCAGAGCTGGAGGCTTTGGGGAGCTGGGTGGGAAAGCAGGCCTGAGAGCTGAGCCAAGTTGATGCCTCCTTCATCTCAGTGGATTCTGCCAACAACCTGTCTGCAAGGCGAATCTATCCCCATTTTCAACAGTGGGGCTTAGGTCAGTTGCTGCAGGTCATACAAGTAGTGACACCCAGGGATAAGCCACTGAGGTGGCAGTGAGGAGATACAGTGTCAGAAGGCAGGCGATGGGGGTTCCCTTGTTGCAGCTCAGGGCCATGTATTAGTCGTTTTTCCTGTCTGGAATTTTGAGTTCTTGTCTGTGTTGTCCCCTTAGGACTGTAGGCAAGTGGCTCTGGGGCCTGGGTGAAGAGGGCGACTAGGGTCCCCCTGATGTCCAGCACTGGGCTCTGACCTCCCCTGAGGACACGGTGCCCCCTGGGATCTTTGACACCCAGGGGTCTGAGGGGCCCTGACTCTGGGGAGGGATGCATGGGGGACTGTGGTTGCCCTGCACCCTGCTGACTGCTTTCCCTCCCTACTCCTTTCTGCAGGTGGTTCCTACAGGAGTCAACAGCCCCTCCCATCCTTGGTAAGAACAGAAGTACCTTATTAACTCCATAATAATCATGTTATGTTTCTAATGTTACAAATTTCTAGTTAAAAAGACCTAAATTGTGATGATGTTGGTATAATGAGAGGTGCTGAGCACCCACTCTGAGCATGCACAGTGCTCAGCACTTGGTCTTTCAGACCTCAGGAGCCCAGAGAGCTGGGTGCTTGTTCCTGTTCCACAGCTGAGGACCTGCATGTACAGAGACTGATTTCCCCGCGCCATCTCCTTTTTGAAAAGGGGAAAGGGCCTTATTTCTGCAACCTCCATGCACATTGAGGTGATAGGGGTGCTCTCTGTTTCCCTCTTCCCTGCAGCTAAGGCGGCAGAACCAAGGAGGTTGGCTTTTGCTGTTGTTAATCCTCACCCAAGGGTATTTTTCCATTGGTTTGTTTTTTGTTTTTTGGTGTGTTTTTTTAGAGAGTGAGTGGAAGGGAGAGGGAGGAACACATCAGTTCGTTGTCTCCCACACGCACCCTGACCAGGACTGGGAATTGAGCTTGCAACCAAGGTACATGCCCTTGACCAGACTCAAATCCAGGACTCTTCAGTCCATGGGCCAACACTAACCACTGAGCCAAACCTGCTAGGGCTAAAGAGGTTGGTTTTGATCCCCACTAATGACCCATCTGTGACTTGCCTGCCTGGCTGAGGTGGAGGTTCCTGTGTGGGTGCTGTGGCCTGGCATTACAGCAGAGCCCCCCAGAGAGGGCAGCCCCCAAAACTGCCATGCCACTCCTGAATCATGTGACTGACACTGTGCAGAGATGGGACGGGTGGGGATGTGTAAGGAGGTAGATGCAGGAGCAGTTGGGATTAGATGGGCTGTGCTTGGGGCCCCTATGATGTCTAGCACTGGGCTCTGACCTCTCATGAGGACACTGTGCCCCCTGGGACCTTTGACACCCAGGGGTCTGAGGGGCCCCAGCTCCAGGGATGTTTCTCACACCTGGTGCCCCTGTGTCCCTGCCTGCAGCTCCTTTAGTAGCACCCCTTGGGCTTCCTGCTGTTTTCCCTCCAGGGCAGCTGTGACCATGGCCGAGAACAAGATGGGGCTGGCACACCGCTACTACACATTCACTGAGCTCCTGGCCATTGCACAGCACTTCAAGTAGAAGCCCGACGAGCACATGATCGCCTCGATCCTGCAGGTGTATGACCAAGGCGGCTTGGCCCTGGCCCTAAATTCCCAGGAGCTGGCACTGCTGGGTGTCCTGACCAGCGACACCATCTTCAACTGCTTCTGCAAGCGTTTGTGGGGCAGCCGCAAGGCGCTACTCACCTGGCTGCTGCTGGCCTGGCGCCAGTGCTGGCCGTCCATCCTGCACATTGGGATGCCCTCTCTGTCCTGTGTCGTCATGGGGCAGTGCATCCTGCTGGTGCGCCAGATGGGCATGCTGGAGTGGATCTACCATGAGCCTGCATCTGAGCAGGCACCAAAGCCTACACCCGAGGACATGCCCTTCACACAGAACCTGCATCAGCACCTGCTGACCCAGGCCATGCCCCATTTGCAGCAGTCGCTGGTCAGCTTGCCACTCAAGGACATGACAGTGCTGAAGGTGGTGATGGCGATTTCAGGGCTGAGACCCTGAGCTAGCTCCTGAGCCATGGCGTGTCCAAGGAGAAGGTGGGCAAGCAGTCCACCAGTCCATCAAGGAGGCCACACGTAGCCACAGCCTCCCAACCTCAAGGCTGGAGGAAAAGCAGCACCGGCCTCCCCCCTACTCCATCAAGACCTGAGGGTAGGAGCTGGGCCCTCGGAGAGGGGGGAGATGAAAAGTCCCGTGAGGGACTGCCCCAAGCACAGGCGCACACAGTAAGTCACGGAAGCTGGTACAGCAGGTGAGCACACATGTTGGGGTCCAGGGTCAGCAGTGGGGAAGGGGTGCCCAGTTTCACAGCTCACACAGGGTCTCCCCAGGCCCGCAGGCAGCCGGGTCTCCAGGCCAGCAGGCCCAGCCCTATGCAGAGCGCCGCCAGCATGGCCACAGCCCCAGCCAACAAGGGCACCACAGTGGCTGCAAGGAGAACATGAGGGGTGAGTCTCAGGACTTGAACCCTCCTATTCCCACCCCAGCACCAAGGGCCTCACCCGTGGGAGTGGTAGGCTCATGGGTGCCATTGCAGGGGACCCCGTGAGCTGGAGGCCAGGCCGGGGCGGTCAGCTGGCGGAAGCGGCCTAGTGGGCAGGGGGCTGGGCACCTGGGGAGGCTGAGGCTCAGGGGCAGGCCAGTGGAGTCGTTGCGGTAGAAGAGGGAGATGGTGACGTTCCTGCAGAGAGAGGAGGCGTGGCAGCAAGGCTCCTCACCTCCCCTGCCTCTGACCTCAAATCTAGACAAGCATCTGAATGGAGGAGCTGGGCTCCTGGCCACCCGTCAACCTCCTGATGGCCTTCCTGGCCAACTCCCCCTCCAGGCCGGTGCCTGGGCGGCCCTCTGCCTGCCACCATCCCTCCTCTTGAGAGCTCTGCCCGCCCGTTCCCAGGCGCCACCCCTCCTCACCCTGCATCTTCGTCATCATCATCATCATCATCGAGGTCCCCCAGGCGCCTCTGGAACTCGAAGCCCAGGCAGGCAGCATAGGGCGGGGTGTGCTCATCATAGAGGCATCCAGCTGCCTCCCAGATGTCCCCAGGCTCCTTAGGAACCCAGCCCCCAAAGCTGCTCACCCTGAAGGCAGTCCCACTGGGTACAGGGAATCATTTAATAAAGATTAGTCAAATGGCCCTGCCGGCGTGGCTCAGTGGTTGAGCTCTAACTGAACCACGCAGTCAAGGTTCAATTCCCAGTCAGGACACATGCCCAGGTTGTGGGCTTGATCCCCAGTGTGGGGCATGCAGGAGGCAGCCGATCAATGATTCTCATCATTGACATTTCTATTCCTCCCTCTTCCTTCCTCTCTGAAATCTATAAAAATATATATTTTTAAAAAATTGGTCAAATGGATGCAAAATATGATTTGGACAAGTCAATTCAACAGCCTGTCCTCCCAGAGGAGCTGAATTCTTTCTCAGAACACCATCTCCTCCCTCCTTCCAGACGCTATACTCTACTGATACCTTCAATGTCCTGAGAACGCTGGCTTAAGAGAGGCTTGCGGGATCCCTAGCATGGGAGCGACTGGGCGGGCCACGAGTGCTTGTGGTCTGCGTCTG